TAACGATTAAGCACCATTCTTTTCATAGGTGGTGGATAACTAAGACTGAGCTTGATGCACAAAAGCTGGAAATGACAAAAATTTGCACATATGCAGGGCTTGTTTTGACAAGGATCTCAATTTTCTGGCAACGAGAAAAAAAAGACTTCAAGAATCAGATTGCACCACCTCAAAAAATGAGGGGGTTCTGAAATAAAAGAAACTCATTTCGTTATTCGCTGTACTCACACGATCGATTGTCAGTCCCACTCAATGATTTGGCAATTAACAGATTTCTGTTGCCCAGTTGTACGACTGTACTCATTCAATACCGAAATGCTGATAGAAAAGGAAGATACAGAGGTGATGCGTGCTTACGGATTACAGATATGAAGAAATTTGCTCAGGATAAAGCCTGCCATAGCACGATCTGCGTGTGTGAGTGCAACAACAGTCATCTTGGGTATGCTAGTGATGAAGCAGAAGCAGCGCTGTCCGAAGTGCGAATGAAACTACGCTTGGACTTATGGACAAAAAGAGCTTTTCTCAAATTTATCGTTGCAGCTAAACCTGTTAGCTTGACAGTTACATCCCATAAGTTTTTTATTCACAAAAATTCGACAAAAAACATTTCTAGTATTTATCATGTTAATAAAAAGTCAAAATTCCGTCCACATCTACTTCCTGTGAGAGCCCGGGCAGTCGGAAGTAACCCGAGTGGTAGCACAGGTCACAGACATCAAATGCTAGCAAAGTTACCTCTCCTGCTCCGGCAGCTAATGGAACAACCAATTCTCAATTCATTTTGTTTATTTCCATTTTCAGCACCACAGCCGTCGTACTAATGAAGTCCAGTTGTTTTGTGGAATAGGAATGCTTACAATTTAATGAGCTGAAACATCCCTTTCATCCAATTTTCAATATAATTTTACCTATTTTTCTATGTATATCACAATTAGTATTTCTACTATTCATTTTCGGTACCAAGTCCGAATGAAACAAATCGAGAACTAAACGTGGCACTGGGCGAAGTCGAATTCTCGGCCTTCTATACTAAAGCAACGCTACTTTCACTGCACAATACTATTCAGAAAATACAAAAATCGGAAAAAAGGATGGTTGGACATTCTGGAGAAGCCAATTCAACTACAAATACCAATTGGAACTGAATGAAAAAGTAGAAATCTAGCATGGCTTCGACTGCACGATCAGCAATTGCCGCTTCTACGGATAGATGTTTATGCAGCCAGTCATTCGGCATAAAATTTCTCCTTATTAGCCAGTCATTCGACTTGAACTTTCTCCTTAGTGTCCTCAAAAGAAAAATGTAAGTACGAACCAGTAGGCATCGGCAGCCCAGAGATTGCTGTCCTGGAATTTATTGAATGGATGCCTGTACAGCTCTCGTCCAGCCATCAAATATCCACGTTATCTGCACAAGCAGCAAAGTGGGCCGATGCACCCACCGGCTGGTGGCGGTGAACGGAGAGAACTAGGTGCAAAACGAGCTGATTGAAGTGCCCCAGTCATCCACAGAAAGCACTGTGCAGGTAGCACTTATTTGTTAGGCGCTGGCTCCAGACTGGTTCTGGATAAGCCTCAGTTCTCAAGACGATGAGAGGATGGCACATTCGCTCGCACTACTATTGATCATGTGTAACAATGATCAATCATCGCCTACACGCAAGTGTTTTCACTCGAACAAACCACTTTCACAGCTCTCAGGAGCTTTTTCTCCGAAAAAAATAACATCGATAAACGACAGCGGTTGTAAACAGGCATCTAGAAAAACAATGCAAAGATACGCGAGAAGAGTTGTTACCGACTACTTGTTTTTGCGGTAAATTTTCGGGCAACTACATACTCACATCAGTGATATTTCAGTTGTTTTTATGAAACTCAAACAGATGGAAAAAAAAGTAGCAACACAGATCATTGACCAAAACCGATTTTCTGAAATTGTATTAAAAGCAAGCAGTGCTCGCCCGTACAGATGACCGCACAACCGGTTTCGCCCATGAGAACGTCAGAATAATTAGCACAAAATGCATAAATACGCAAGTCTTCAAAGTGTGTGTTTTTCAAATTGGACTGTGTAAATTACTTCTTTAACTCTGACAATCTTAAATAAGAACTTATTCTGTCAGTTTTCACATGTCTTTATTGGAAGGAGCCTTTTTATGCGTTTTTATGCGTTATAGCGCTGCTACAGCCAGCAAAAACGCATGTCGTCGAGGGGCTGTCTGTGTGTGTGTGTGTCTGTGTATGTGTGTATGTGTGTGTGCGTTCGGAAATGAGTGCATTTTGTCACCCATTTCAGCAACCAGGAAAGCTGGGAGATGAGACTTTGGATATACGTTCCTGCCCCGTATGTCATCCTCCCGTTTTAAGATATTTCCCTATACGCGCCTAGACTTCGCATATGGGACCCCCAAAGAAATATGTCGGCGGGAAACGATTTCGCGAACCAGGCAAGGTAGAAAGCTGAAATTTTGCAGGGATATACTCTATGCACGTGCGAGCTAAAGATATTAAACTCAGCTGTCGAGCCCCCCAACCACAGCCTCAAACAGCTCCTCAACCCAAAAATCGTTAGCAACTCGAACCTGAGCCGCAATTGTATATGCAAATGAACATGGATTTTTTGAAAAAAGACCGTTCGAGCAACACTTCCAATTTTTCATGAACTGGAAATTTGCATTTTTTCAAGAAATTTGCATTTGTCATTTTTTCACAAAGCGAACATTTACC